TAGAGGGCACCGAAGCTTCGAATTTAGAAGATTAGATTATAACAAACATGCGATAAGGATGCGCTGGTTAGATCGGTCGTGGCGGTTGATGAAAGTTAGCGCAGAAAATGAATATGGCAGGTGACTTTTGCAACTGGCGCCTTTTACCTTCTAAGGCTTTAAGTAAAGATAAATCATCGGTTTGGTTATTGTAGATCGATTAAGCCGATCGTTCATCGACGTTAATGCCCCGCTTCGACGTCCAGAACGCCCTATGGGGACCCAGCTTTGGAACGTTCCACAGCTAGGTATGAGCGTCTCAGTTGTTAACCAACAATATGTTCCCTTGGCGCTTATGCCGCCCGCCATTTCGCTACTGATACCTACTTCTGTACTTACGACTTCTATGTGCCATCAGTTTATGTTTTTTTTGGGGGTTATTTTTGCGAATAGTGACTATTACAACTACTATTGTTACCGGGTCGTTTCGCCGTCGATGGTAACTTTGGCTGACGTTAACTAGAAGATGAAGATAAGGTGGCTTCTCTACCTGAAGCATCATCGGGCAAAGGCTGCCGACGCGTCGAAGCGCTTATAGCTAGCTTACCGACATTTACCAAGTATTCCCCTGCGTTCCTAAGAACTAAGGTAAACGAAGGCAGAATGGAACGAGCAACAACAAGAAAATAGTCGTTTGAGGAAGAAGAAGATCTGCACGGCGATCGCGGCGCCATAAGCGGTACACGAAAAGTAGAGCCGCTGAACTTCAGCACTCATAGTGCATGTATTGTTAGCGTTCGGAGAAGCGCTGAAGTCTGTTGCCTATGCCATCAGCTATTGCCGCAGCCATCGCCGATGCCCCGGCCGCCACTACAGAGAAATGACGGTCTGCTAACCGCTTTTGCTGCAACTTTAAGGCCACTTCGATCGTTGATTCACTCTAACAGCATTAGTAGAATCAACAGGCCAGGGAAAAAAGGCCCCCCTTGCAAAACAACGTGACACAAGAGGTCCGCACGTTAATACCGATGGTAATAGACAGGCGAGCAAAGAAGAACAACAACAACCAGCAAACTAATTTAGGAACCGAAAGTAACAAGTGTTAATTTAACTCAGAAACGGCGAGCGCGAACGAATGACGAAAAACGAGGAACTGCAACAAACACGAAACAAGAGGGTCTGCTTACTGCGCCCGAGACTGATGCTGCTGATGGAAACAGTGAGTATTTGAGAAAGACAATAGAATCGCGAAGGGGGTCCGTCCACATGGCTTCGTCCAGCCTTTTTTCACGTCCGCTGCCGTAGCGGCGCGGGCATTAGCTTATATACACAATAGAACAAAAGACGACGACGACGACAAACGAACAAGACAGAAAGTCCATTTACTGCTAATGGGGTCATATGTACTTCAGTACTGCTAGTTCAGTGCTCGCTTCTGGATATCACGTAGGTATAATTAAAAAGCAGGAGCAGTTAATGTTGGGGTTGCTGGCCTGCAAAAACCTTGATTCGCGCGCGCGATAAGTAAAAAGTTACCGTCGAATCGTGGCTGACTGTCTATCTGACCACGGCCTGCTGGTTACGTTGCCGCCCGTGTCTGTCGACTGCGAAAACGACCTTTGTTACCGTTGTTTAAATTCCTGCTGTTACTGCCGTTATAGCATTTTTTAACTTCTTTGAAAAATACGACTTAGAATTAACGAAAATACGGTTGTGATAGATGTCTATCGTTTGTTCAATAGCTGTTTAAGCATATGCTAGATCACGACGTTATTAAACATTTCTAGTCTCTAACATTAAGTCTATTAAATAACGGACAACTAATGTGAGGTGTGACTGTCCAGGAAGCAATGATCGACGGAAAATCAGAGCACCGCGATGGGCAGGGGCGGTGTATGAGGGAAACGAGGGCAAGCGATTTATATTACAATGTGAAGAGATAAAAGATTGCGCATGTAGACGAATGCAGCCTTCCATACTTTGCTACCCGTTGCTGAAATCAAAGGTACATATGCTAGAATTTCGAACCTAAAAAGAAACGACTGAAGCACTCTGAGCTCTCTATGAAGAAAATTAAAGTTGTGGAAGTCCAGTTACCAGTACAATGGCTTCTTGTCGCACACCGATAATCATTCCTAACTCAAGTTAGTTAGTAAATATTCTCAAATATTGCAAACATAGACCTTATTGGATTGATCCTGCAAGAATGAATCGAATGTTGTCTCTGGGAGCTATCTCAGTAGTTTATATATATAGGAACTCTGTCTGCCTAATGGTAACGAGTATCTTTGTTCGCTTATTTTAGAGCTATCAATACAGATTCGAATAGACACTCATTTGGGTAGCTCTTAGAACACTGCACGCATTTTAGTGTTATATAGAAAAATTCCATAGGGGAATCAGATACCCACGAACCCCGCTATTTCTAGTTCTACATCATTTCAATGAATGGGTAGACGATCGTGCAACTTGGCACAGAGCGTGTTAAGTCCATATGCGATCGCCACTTTGTGCATAAAGGAAACGCAGAACAAAATGTTTAGCGTTCAATAAATATTTAAGTTACTAAAACGCATGATAACTTTTTGTTACTTATTTCATTTATTCATTTATCTGATATTACATTGTGGGTGTACGCTCGCTTTCAATGCTTGTCCAAAACACAACGGCAACGTTTTGACTGGGTCAACTTAATAACTGTCTCTATTTAACTTCCCCTCGCTATCAGAAATACATTCGTGTGATAAGTTAGTGGATTATCGTTTGTACAACTAATCCATCTATATTCAGCTGACCGAGCAAAGAAATCTGAAATTTTACATCCGGAATTGCTGCAACAGTATGTCCAACGTTGTTTACGTTCATTGGAAGATATCAGGCAATAAAGTGTCGTTTCGAATCCAACATATATTTCGATAAGTGTTCGATTTGAAGCGGAGCTTTTTCTATCATGAACTACCCTATGAACACGAATGCATTGAATTTTTTCAGCATGTAATAATTGCTCACAAAATCGTGTGGCCGATCAGAATCGTGCGTAGACGTACGGCACGTTCCTACATAGGTAGTTATTATAGGGATTGTACTTTTATCTATTTCTATAGGTCCACTTTGAGAGACTATGTGATATTATATCATCTCTACGGTTTGTTGTTTGTTCGCTAGAAATAATAGCCTTCCTTGTGCTGGTCATCGACATCACTGGACGACAACCCCCGTTTAGAGTGATTTACAATACAATGGGGCATCTCTAATGAGGCATATGACGGCTATCCGAACATTAAGTGTAAGCGACAATACAAAACTGTTGGGCAGCTTAACGCACCCAATTTTCTTCAACATCCGGCCTTCTATTAGCTGGCCAATGAGCATCTCAGCAAACGACTAGAGAAATCCGTCTTACGGAATCGCGCGGCAGAAGTGGGCATGAAAAAACCTTCGTCCTTCCTTTACAATAGTCATCATTACGGCTCGTAATTATTCAATTGTTTTGGCTACGTATTGGCATGGAACGCTTTAGGTCAACCACCTATAATTTTCTCCGAATGTCGCCAAATGTTCACTTGATGTATCGTAGTACTACAACGGAATGAACGACTACTTATGACCAGCGTTCGTGTTGAAGCTTAGCGAAAGTAGCGGAAGCTTGAAAATTAGTTTTTAGAAAACGGGTTTTTTTTTAGCGATGTAACTTCGCTTCACTCCGAAACTGTCTTACGGACACTCAATCAAATACATTGAAAGGAGCAACTTACTAGATCTTATTGGAACTCTAACAACAAAACTGTCAATGGTAATTTATACTTGAAGTTGTAACGATAGTAAAATGACCACTAATAGAGACAATAATAACCAGGTATTGCAGTCCATTCAATCAGTTTTATGTCATTCGTTCTCAATCAAATCTAGCCTATTTTTGCAAACTACGGCCTAGTTATAAACAGTCGAATGTATCTGCTTCTGACAACAGGCCAGGGCTCGACTCGAGTTCAGATATAAGAGCTCTATTTGAGTCAGGTCTGCTGCTGTGGTAAGCGTTCACTGTAGCGTTACTTCAGAGTAATGGAAAGATGACATGGCCACTGAGGGCAAAAGCGCAGGAGAGTTTGAGCAATGATGGTCGCGGCAAAGCTTACGTACGGCTTCGTAGTTGTTGGAAATGCTCTATCAAGATTCCATGTGTGTCGTATGCATAGACGTAAAATATGGCATGATACTATTGTATATTTCAGCGTATTCCACGATGGTTCTGTATGCCAAGTACATCTTATCTAGAAATCCCAGTCCGTCATACGTCACCACCATTTGTAGCGTGCACAATCGTATATCTATAGACATCGATCATAGTTAGCGGTAAGAAGAAAGACAACCCTGTGCCCTTTATGCGAAGCGTATCCTCGTTTGTTATATTTTGTTTTCATTTACTCGTTCCAACGGAACAACGTCTCACTTGAACGCCTCGAATACGGTATAGTAGATAGAATTTTCAAACTTGGTGCACATCGCTTTAGATGGGTGGAATTTAGGCACTTACATTACATACGAATGTAGATACTTGAAGACAGGGCACTTCGTCTGTTTCTGTCGCTGCTTCACATTAGCCAGCAGTTGTGTACTACTCTTGCTCCCTTTCATTTTCCCTTCATCATCCCTTGCAATTCTTAATAGGTAGAATAAATAGACAATCATCATATGACTGAGCAAGTATATGGATTGATGTACGAATGACTTATGGAGTCGGCGGTGATAGGTAATGGATGCAATTGTTTCGTATCTGTCGATAAAGGATGACCGTGTGACATAAGCCGTGCAGACGTTGATGAATGATTGGGCAGTAAATGATTGTTTCTTCTTCCTTTTTTTTATAATGATTATAATATTATTATCTGCACATATAT